GTAACAGCTCTAACTATATGTAGGACAAATCAAACAGTAGTTCAGACTTGAAGGAGAGTAGGATTGGATAAAGAGGATAGTCAAGTAGTAGCTCAGACTAGGAGGGTATTGATTGAGTAGCAGCTCAGACCAAGAGTAGTATTAAGGTAGAGACTAGTTTTTTGACTCTTATGTTAGAGGAGAAGTGTTCTCTAGGTTGATAGTACTCTCAAACTGCAAATGTAACCTGCAGCCCTTAAACCAACTTTATTCCCAAAGCTACCAGCTAGGATTTATACTAGGAGAACAAGTAGGAATATGAGAAGAGTCAAAAAACTAAGGAACTACTGTATCTACAGATTGCTTTTTATAATAACTGAATAACAAGAGTAAACTAAGGAATGAAACTTGAGAATAAGATAAAAGAGATAATAAGAACAAATATTGCAAAGCCAACAGGCACATTAGAGGCTAGGAAGAATTAACAGAGCATTACACATTAAGGAATATAGACTAAGAGGCTATTACACAAAAGAGGCACAAGTTACTATATTGGGTGAGAAATGGATTAGCTACATTGTGATTGTATACACTACCTCATGTCTCTGTAGCTCTCTCCTGTGCTCAATACTAATACAATCTTCATGAAACTTTGTAGAACAATAGATGAGATGTTAAGGATTATGAAAATCTAGTAGTAATGTTAGTGTTTTGCAAAACTGATAGAAATATGAAGAAAATGAAATAGGTCCACTCCTACAATCCTAACACAAGGCTCACAACCCTACTATTGACTAGTTAGAGTAGACACTTGTGTTCAATTAGTATCCTAAGTCTTACAGTTATCTTACACTACTGTCCTAAGTAGATACAGACACTTCTAATGTTACTAACAGTTCTAATAAAGGTGACTAGTTGTTCTTCTTTGACTAGGATAGTGAAACTCCTGTAATGTGTTTATAAGAAGAACACAGGTGGTTTGTTAAGTTTGAGGGGGAGCTAAACTACAAGTCTTATGAGACTAGAGTGGTTCTGAACAGGTGTGAGTTCTTCTAGTACAGTTACAACCTTGGAAGAGAGATATGAATAACAGAATGTACACTTACAAAGTGTATAACAAATAAACTAGTACAGAAACAATAAAGACTAAGACTATACCTTATACTAGAGGACTTTGAGACAAATGACAAGAGCTAAATCAATAGGTGAACTATCTGAATTCCTCCTGTATCTAGTATATGAGTAACTGTATTTATAGTTTTCTAAGTTCTGGAAAATCATAGTACTAACAGGGAAATGTTGTGGTTGAACAAAAGGAACATAACAAAATATACAAGAACAAATAAGAGAACCTTTTGCTAGAGTTAGAAGAAAATAGGGTGAAAAATGTATGAAGAAAATTTATATAGTCTGTATTCTGACTACAGGAAATGTTATACAAGAGGAAAGGCAAGATTTATATTGAAAGAAGTAGAAGGTTTACATACTGTTACTATCTGATCAGTACAGACAAAGTGTAGAGAGTTCTGAGATTTCTGGCTGTCTCTTAGGATCATTACTTTGATTGTCCTAATCTTCTATCTGACTAGAAGACTATTGAAACTCCTGTAATGTGTTTAAGAGAAGAACACAGGTGGTTTGTTATGTTTGAGGGAGAGCTAAACTATGAGTCTTATGAGACTATTGTACCTCTAAACAGGTGTGAGTTCTTCCAGCACAGTTGTAACCTTGGAAGGGAGACATGAATAACAGAATGTACACTTGTGAAGCATACAATGAATGAACTGGTACAGAAACAACAAAGACTAAGACTATACCTTACACTAGAGGACTTTGAGACAAATGATGAGAGCTAAAATCAATAGGTGAACTATCTGAATTCCCCCCCTATCTAGTACATGAGTAGCTGTATTTATAGTTTTCTGAGTCTCAGAAAAGCATAGTACTAAGGGGAAATGTTGTAGTTGAACATAACAAAAATACAAGAACAAATAAGAGAACCTTTTGCTAGAGGTTAGAAGAAAATGGAGTGAAAAATGTAAGAAGAAAATTTATGTGGTCTGTATTCTGGCTACAGGAAATGTTAAGCAAGAGAAAAGGCAAGATTTACATTGAAAGAAGTAGAAGGTTTGCATACTGTTACTATCTAATTAGTGCAGACAAAGTACAGAGAGTTTCAAGATTTCTGACTGTCTCCTAAGATCATTACTTTGACCACTCTAATGTCCTATCTGATTGGAAGATTGTAGTACTTTGATCTAGACAATAATAATGTATTAGTTTGCTGAGCCACCTACTGTGACACAACTTGTGTTCTGAGCCTATAATAATTACATGATCTGTACATCCTGTAACATATACAGTATGTGTAAGTCCATTCCAAGACTGTGTACATTTTGCAAACACTTGCAAATGCTTGTAATGTGGAATAGTTGAGTGTTCTTAGAAGACACATCTATGAGCTACACAGATGTTCAGAATTGATTGTCATAATTGTCTGCATGTAATGTACAGTTCATAGTATGATGCCAATTGTTTTACTATAGTACTTTGATCTGAGCAATAATGACACAATAGTTTGCTGAGCCACCTACTATGACACAACTTGTGTTCTGAGCCTGTAATAAGTACATGATCTGTACATCCTGTAAAATAAGTAGTGTGTGTAAGTCCATTCTGAGACTGTGTACATTTTGCAAACACTTACAATGTAGAATAGTTGGGTGTTCTTAGAAGATGCTTCTATGAGTCACACAGATGTTCAGAATTGATTACTGTGATTGTCTGTATGTAGTGTACAGTTCCTAGCATGATACTGATTGTTTCATCTCTCAGTACATCTGCTTGTGACTGTCTACAGTCACATAGTTGACTTTATAATTAGTAGGCTGAATGTAAGTTCTGTGTGTGAATGTCTTGTAGATTGTAAGGTAACAGTAGAGGAGCTTACAAAAGCAAAGGAGGACAAGACTGTCACTAGGGTAAAGGTAAAGGTAGAGGAAGAGTTAGGGTAGGGGTATAGAGAATAGAATAGGGTAGAAAATAAGTAGTGAAAAGAAAATTTCAGTTGTGTTTTTATGAACAGAAAATCAGAAATGTAAGGAATGAACAGAAAATGGATAGAATAGATAGGAAATTAGATAAAATAGAGAGTTAAGAGGAATAGAATGGATGGATGAATATTTTTATGATTTATGTTGAAACGATTGGCATCATGCTAAGAACTGTACATCACATGCAGACAATCACAGCAATCAATTCCAAACACTCACATGACTCATAGAAGCCTACTCTGAGAACACCCAACTATTCTGCATTGCAAGCATTTGCAAACAGAACTGCAAGAGTGTACAGTCTTGGAATTGGCTTACATACATTGTTTTCTCTACAGGATGTACAGATCACATGCTTATCACAGGCTCAGAACACAAGTTGTGTCACAGTGAGTGGCTCAGCAAACCATTACATTATCATTGCCCGGATCAAAGTACTGCAATCTTCCAATCAGATAGGACATCAGGGCAATCAAAGTGTTGATCTCAGGAGACTGCTGGAAATCTTGGAACTCTCCACACTTTGTCTGTACCAATCAGATGATAACAGTATGAGAACCTTCTATTTCTTTTGATGTAAATCTTGCTTTTCCCTTTTGTATAACATTTCCTGTGGCTAGAATGCAGACCACTTAAATTTTCCTCATGCATTTTCACCCTATTTTCTTCCAACCTCTGGCAAAAGGTTCTCTTATTTGTTCTTGTATATTTTGTTATTTTTCTTTTGTTCAGTCATGACACTTCCCTGTTAGTACTATGCTTTTCCAGAACTCAGAAAACTATAAATACAGCTACTCATGTACTAGATACAGGGGGAATTCAGATAGTTCACCCATTGATTTAGCTCTTGTCTCTTGTCTCAAAGTCCTCTAGTGTGAGGCATAGTTTTAGTCTTTGTCATTTTCTGTATCAGATTGTTTGTTGTGTGCTTCACAAAGTACACTTTCTGATATTCACATCACTCTTCCAAGGTTGCAACTGTGCTGGAAGAACTTGCACCTGTTCAGAACCACTCTAGTCTCCTAAGACTCATAGTTTAGCTCCCCCTCAAACTTAACAAAATCACCTGTGATCTTCTCTTAGACACTTCACAGGAGTTTCATCTGGAGCCCACTGTGAGGGGGGTTTCCATAGTTAAACAACACAAGTTCTAACAGTTCTCAGCATCCTGAACAGGTTTCTTGGACACCAGCCTGTGAGCTTAGGTCAACTCAGTCACAGTCAACACTAGTACCTGTATTGAGCAGAACACACAGATCTGCTAGAATCCAATTGTACTGTGAAACATCCAATAGTCTGAACACTGGAAGCACAGAATCCAATATTGCAGAAACCTTAGGAACACTATTGGAACAGCAGAGCACTTGAGTCAGTAACAAAGAGGAGGAAGAAGAAGACCTTGTAGCAACATCACTCAATCCCCAAGTAATTGATTTCTGAATTTGTAACAAACTACTGTATTTCACATCCCTGGAATTGTGTACAGGATTGCTAGCTACCCTGCAACTTTCCCAAATCACATCAACATCACAACTGACCATAACTGGCACACTGTGTTGCAGAAGAGCACAGTTGTCTCCACAGGAAACAGAGACAGTCTAGCAGCCAGTATCTTCACTTGCACCAGCAACCAGTGTATTGTTAGCAACACAGCTCCAATTACAGTAACAGTAACTTGTAAGTGATGTGTGACTACTTCAGCAACTACAAGTAAACACACAAATTCTATTGCAACCAAGACTGGCAGTGCAGCCAATGGCCACATTGAACGTTCCAAAGCTGCCTTGTTACAGAGCATGTGATGCACTGTCCTTTGACAGAACCAAGCCCTGAGAATTGCAGAGGTATTTTGCAGACGTGGAAAGTCTTGCAAACAAATGCAACATAGCTAGAGTGGATATCATTCTGCTCATGATGAAGTACATGCCTGTAGAAGTGGAGGATTTGTAGGATAATGTGGATAAAACGTCTTGGGATACATTTAAGACAGGAGTAATTGTGTATTACCTGAGTCTTAAGACAGGAGCACAATATGCCAGAAGTGACTTGGATGCTATAGTACAGAAATGGGCAGAGAGAGGAATTATGAATAGGGACAATTTGGGAACATACCACCAAGAGTTTACACTCATAGCAACCTATTTGACAACTAACAATAAGCTGTCACTAGAGGAATCTTGCCACGTTTTTCCATATGTGTTCTGTAGAGCTATTACAGAAAAGCTGATACAGAAGTTAGAAATCAAGTATCTGGACCATAAGGATGGACTTGTGTACAATATTGTGCAAGTTGTAGCTGTAGCAGGGTCAATCCTTAGGGGATCTACACTCACAGTAGTTAGTGGATCAGATATGCTTGTGAGTCAGCCTGTGATTCCAGTCAAACAGGAAGAAGTTAATTTGACAAGTGTTGTGGAAGCACTTCAGAGTCTGCAATTGTAAGTAGAGTCAATGAAGCAAGGCCCAAGACTAGGAGGAGGAGGATACAGAGGAGGTTCAGGCAGAGGATCAGGAAACAGAAGTTGTGCATTTTGTAGAGAATCTGGACATTTTATACACAGTTGCTCAAAAGTGTCAGAATACATTGCAAACAGGAAGTGTACACAGAGCCCAGACAATAAAATTATTATGGTCAACAGAAACACCATTTCTGGGATAGGGCAGACCTTGAAGGAAAAGGTTGATAGCCACTTTCTGTTGTTGTAAATACACTCTGTTAGTTTTGTAGAGGCTGTACTAGTTGTAGCACACAGTCTAGGAGCTCCTGTACCAGTTACAATGGTAGAGGTTGATGAAGAAGAAGAGGAGGAGGTGGAGAACCTTGTAGAGCTCAAAAGGCTTGAAGTAATGCTTGGAGAAGCCTGCAAGAAAGTTGCAGAACAATTGAAAGCAAAGGATGTAAAGGGGAAGGGAAAGCAAGGGCATGATTACAAAGTAGTGAAACTCACAGATATCAGACCAGCACTAGCAAGTACACAGTGAGACACAATTAGGACAAAGGAGAACCTGTACTGCTACATTACACCAATTGAGGACCCAGAAATAGCTGGAAGAGTTTTAGATCACAGCTTGGACCAGGAAGTGTGTATTATACAGTAGGAGTTGCTTACATTGTCTCTGGAGCTTTGGAAGAAGACTTGCAAATTAGTAACATTAAGGTGCTAAACAGATGGAAACACTATGTTCTACAGTGGAGAACTGCCCATTGCAGGATCAAACAATAGTGCACTGCAGCAGTATCACAACACAACAGTAGAAGTTAACCATTCACTTCCACTCTGTATGCTTAAGGCAATAGTAGACAGAAAAATTGAGGTAGATTGTGTGCTAGACCAGGGATCAAGCATAAACATAGTTTGAGCTGACGTATGGGAAGCATTAAAGATTCTGTTAGATCACAATATGGCTGTTACACTTGAAACAGCAGACACTAGTCAGGGATTGACTGTAGGACAGATTCTGAGGTTGTGACTCTCTATAGGAATGCTTCACATAGATATCACAGTACAAGTTGTGCAGAAAGCTCTGTTCAGGATATTGCTAGGTAGACTGTTCTTTGCAACTACAGAATGTGAAACCAAAGATTTCACAAATGGGGAGCAGCACATAACACTTCAGGACCTGAATGATCTGTTAAGGAGGTGGTCTCTGTCTACTAGAGTGAGGGCACCACAATATGAGCTGGAGACAGATTTTTGAGAAGCATCAAGGAACCAGAAACACTACAATTCCAGGGAGATACACATATGGCAAGTGGATTAGGAACAAACAAGCAGAAGAGTAATAGTAAGGCAATGATTCTATACAGAGGAAGAGACAAAGGAAATAGAGTAAATGTGAGAAAGGATTGTAGTCAGGGATCATGAGTCACAGAATCATGGATGATAGAGGCAGCAGAGTCATGGAAGTCAGTAATTCTCAATGCACCAGATGACAAACTTGACACAGTTTTGTGGGCTTACAAGAAAGTTGCAAATAAGGTGCACCCTGTACCCAGAGTGCTTCCAGAGGAGTTCTGCATAGTCAGACAATGGCACCCTAATCCTCTAGCCAGAATGCCTATATTGCCAACAATACCACAGCCCTTTGTGCCTACCAGCTGACTTACAGAAGAGTGGATGCAAGCAATTAGAGAATTGCAATCAGGATTCCTATAGCTGGAAGAATGGAAACTTGCAGAAAACCTATTAATGCTACAGTCAGAAGTGTTTGCATGGATGGAAGAGGAGCAAGGAACATTGGACCCTATGCACTTCAATCCTATTTGAATTCTGACCATAGAGTATGTACCATAGGTAGAGAAAAGTATTCTGATTGTATGTGGAATTGAGAAGAGGGTGATTGAGTTGTTGAAGGAGAAGTTGTGTAACAGAGTGATAGAACTGTCAAATTCCTCCTATCAATTGTAATGGTTTTGTGTCACAAAGAAAGACAGAGTATCCTTACAATTTATTATTGATTTACAGAGGTTAAACACAGTTACAATAAAGGATACAGCCGTTCTGCCAAACATGGAACTAATTGTGGAAAGCTGCAGAGGTTGTACATACTATATGTAACTCAATTTGCATATTGTGTTTGATCAGAGGAGTTTGGATGAGCAGTCTAGAGATCTGACAATGTTCCAGACACCTTTAGGGACGTTTTGCTTGACAGTATTGCTAATGGGTTACACCAACTTAGTACAGATTCTGCATAATGACTTAGTGTTTATTCTTTGCAACAAGATTCTGGATGTTACAAACCCATACACAGACAATGTTCCAGTAATTGGACCCTACTCAAGATATGAGACAGCAGACAGAACAGAGGAAACACTTCCTGAGAACAAGGGAATACAGAAGTTTGTATACAAGCATCTGATGGACGTAAACTGGATTTTGCAGAGAGTGAAAGCTGTAGGAGGGATGTTTTCTGGAAAGAAGATAATGCTTTGTGACAAATCTGCAATATTTGTTAGGCATAAGCTGACGTATTTGGGGAGAGAGGCTGAAGAATCACAAATACAGAAGGTTAGGGATTGGCTGCCTTGCAAGAGTGTTACAGAAGTACAGGGATTCCTCAGAACAGTAGGAGTGCTTTGTGTTTTTATTCAGAATTATGCAAAGTTAGCACAACCACTCAATTGACTCACACAAAAGAACTTGATATTCAATTGGAATGATGAGGCACAGAAATCTATGGACACACTCAAGGAAGCAGTTTTACATTGCCCTACACTAACACTAATTGACTACAAGTCAGAGTATCCAGTAGTCTTGGCAGTAGATTTGTCTATCATCAGAGTAGGATGGTATATTGGTCAGGAGCACCTGGATTGTAAACAGAGAATAAATCAATTCAGATCAATTAACTGGAATGTAATGCAAGTACAATATTTGCAAGCAAAAATAGAGCTCTTCAGACTTTATTGTGCACTTCACACATTGCACATATATCTCATAGGTGTCAAGAAATTAATTGTGGAAATGGATGCTTCATATGTAAAGGGAATGATCAATAAGCCTGACCTACAGCCCAATGCTACAATCAATTGCTGGATAGCCAGTATTTTGCTATTCGATTTCGAGTTCTGCTACATTCCTGCATCAGACTTCAAGTGTATGGACAGATTATTGCAACACTAAGCAGCACCCAAAGACCCTCCAGACAACAACACCTATGAAGACTGGATTGACGAGTCATACAGATTTTATGTAGCAGAAATAGAATCTATGCAACACAGACATCAGCTGGAAACTTGCAGGGCTACAGAACACAAAGCCTTGTTAGTCGAGTGTGTAGAAACACAGTCCTGGGTTTCAGATGCAACACACTGGGAGACACACAACAACATTATTGATGAATCATTTCAAGTAAACAAGGATGTGCCACAGGCAACACAATCCAGCAGACTGTAATGTAGATTATTCTCAGAAGTCATTATTCTGAAACAGAACTGGAATTGGATACATTGAGATAAACCAGAACAACCTGATCTGGAATGCAGAAGAGCAGAAGGTGTAGCAGACAAAGGAGTACATGAGCAGGAACCTGGAGGAGAGTCTTGCAGAGTCATGAGAACCAAGGAGGTAGAGGGAGCAGATGACAAAGCAGAGGGTGACAATCTAGAGCTGATAGGGGTTGTGCACAGTATCTGCAGTAACAAGGCTGAGGGTTTGGACACAACAGTAGAACGATTTCTACAATCACTAACTGCTGAAAGGCAAGAAGCAAGACTGAAGGCTGTGAAAGAGTATCTTGGCTTGCTCTGCAAACCAAGCAGAATTGCAGATACTGATTTTCTGACACTTATATAATACACAGCATAGTTCTTTGTACAGAACAACAAGATCTGGCATTGAGGTCCCAAAGGAAAGCATCAGATTGTGCTGGATAAGGACAGGAGATGGGAGTTGGTTAGGATAGCACACAAAGACTTAGGACACAAGGGAATCTTTACAGTATGAGCCTGTTTACTGGATTGGTTCTGGTGGCTATCTCTTACAGAAGACATTAAGTACTTCATTAGGACTTGTCATGCATGTCAGACTCAGCAGATGCAACAAGTGCTGATTCTACTGAGTATTCCAGAGATTGTACTGCTTTTCCAAAAGATCCACATAGATACAAAGGTTATGCTGAAAGCAGGAAGATTCTGATATATTGTGTATACACACTGTTTGTTATCAGGGTATCCAGAGTTTTGCATGCTTTGGGCAGAGAATGGAAGGACGATAGGACAGTTCATCTTTGAAGAACTTCTATACTAATACAGGGCATGTCCCAAGCTCATAACAGACAACAGAACACCTTATGTTGTAGTGCTGGACTATTTACAAGAACAGTACCACATCAATCATATTCGGATTTCTGTGTATAACTCCTGCACAAACAGAGTTATTGAGCAGAAACACTTGGATGTACAGGAAGCAATTGTAAAGACAGCAGGAGACAATATTAGACATTAGTATAAGTACATGCATTCCATGTTCTGGGCAGAGTGGATTACAATTCAGAAAGTGACTGGATATTCTCCTTATTACCTTGTTCATAGAGTAGAGCCAATATTACTGTTTGACCTGAACAAGGCAACATATTTGGTTCCACCCAAAGGATTGCTACTAACAACAGAGGAACTAGTAGTAATACAAGTACAACAATTACAGAAGAGACCAGACAACCTTACACAAATGATGGAATGTGTTTGGAATGCCTGCAAAAGATATGCAAAGCATTTCACAGAAGTCAATCGTAATCAGATCAAGGACTACAACTTTGCTCCAGGTGCACTAGTGCTAATCTGCAATTCAAAAGTGAGCAACAACTTAGGACAAAAGATGAAACTGTGATACCTTGGACTGTTCATAGTAGTGCAAAGAACAAAAGGAAACACTTATGTTGTAGCAGAATTGGACAGAGCAGTGGCCAAGTTATGTATTGTAGCATTTTGCCTAATTCTGTATTTTCCATGTTCATGTTTAACAGTTCCTATCTTGCATCTCATCAAGGCTGCAGAACTAACACTAGAAGATGCAGAACTATACAGGACTAGTTGTAAGGATACAGATGATCTAGACGACTGTGCTTTGGATGCTATGCTTGAAGTAGAACCAAGCACAGAAGTCACAGACTCCTAATCTGAGAATGCACAATTTTTCAATATACCCTCCCAGTCTTGTACTGGAAACTAAAATATAGGGATTGATTCCCTACCAGCAACACCTAACAGTTGTGTAAATCTGTAAATACTGTGTTCTACTACAGTTCCCTATGCTTTGTTACATTTTATATTCACATACTTTTGATCTTCCATTACATTCCTTCTCATTTATAATAAATTGCAAAAAGCCCATACAACATTCTATAAGTATATAAACCTTTATACAAATTATGATTCTTTTCCACCTATTCCCATCCTATTCTACTAGTTCTATACATAAATCATAAAAAAATATCCATCCATCCATTCCATTCCTCTTAACTCTCTATTTTATCTATTTTCCTATCCATTCCATCCATTTCTGTTCCATTCTGTTTATTCCTTACATTTCTGGTTTTTTTTCATAAAAACAAAACTGGACTTTTATTTCTCTACTTTCTACCCTGTTCTATTTCCTACTCTAACTCTTCCACCCTACTATCTACAGAGGCTTCTGCTGCCATGGCTAAGAAGTTGATACCCTGCCTTAGAGCCATAATCTTTACATCAAACTCATTCTTCATTGTCATCAGCTGCAACTCCAGGTTGTTCAGCTCCTTGGTCATCTGTGAGTGGAGGTTGCAGACTGTTCTGGCTTTACTATGCATGATTGGAGGGATGACAGAATGCAGGTTCTAAGTTGTACTGTACAATTCTACAGTTTGCCCCCTAGTCTTAC